ACCTATGCAAATGATTTGAGATGGTTTGCGTATCTTTGTTTAAATGGTGTATTACTAATGCCAAAATATACTTTTTTATTATGATCATGATAAATGGAACTTACGGTTGCTTGGTAGACAATATTGTTAGATAAACATTGATTGTTCAATGAACAAAATGCTTTATTGCAGTTATTTTGGTTGGTTATACGCAGTTACATTCGTTGGTTATACGCAGTTACATTGGTTGGTTTTTAATTGATTTTTGTTGTGTAAAATTTTGAAATTATGCAAATATATGATAGATTTTGAGTTAGGCATGCAACTATAGCTGATCCTAATAGAATTTTGATTGGATATTTTATGTAGCATGTGTCCGGCTGGAAAATGTAAGTCAATAAGGGCTAAAAAACAGTTTCCTATTTTTGTTTTGACGTTTAAGCTGAATGGAGGGTTATACCAAATAATTTTACGTTTACTATGCTTTTTTTGTTGATTTTGACTTGAGATTAATTGTGGTTGGTGGGTAAGGTTTGATTTGTATCCCAATATTTTTAAAGCCTCTTCAAATGGTGGAATAGCCTTTTTGAAGAAAATTTCGTTAATTGACATGGAAGATAATCTTTGTTCACTATTGTGAGGGATTACTTTTATTATGCTTGCAGGGTGGTTAGAATTAGAGCGGATGTACTTTATTTGATTATCAGGTTTAAAATATGGTTGAAACATATTGTTACTTAGATTTAATGTAACATCAAGGTAGTTTACAATTTTTAAATTAGATTGAATGGTGATTTGAAGATTGTTTCTTTTAAAAATGAGTGCTATATGCTTTTTGATTTTATTCATTTGCTAACCGTTTTTGTTCTTGAATACAGCAAGACCGTCATCATGATATAGGCCGAAATCTTCTTTATTATGTTATGAAATTTGATACAGTATAAAAATACCTATTAAGTCGCAAACTTCAGCATTATCAAATGCCCCCATTGTTACATCGAACAATCCACCTTTTTTTTTAATCTATGCTCCATCGTTGAAGATAAGAGATTTTCTTTCTAAAATGCTATGAATTTTGCTGACCATCATATCGTTATCAAAAGCGAAGACAATGCTTTGTCTTCGCTTTTGATAACGATATGATGGTCAGCAAAATTCATAGCATTGTTGAGGGTGTTTTCATTTATGGAAGGATAAAAATCGTTAACATCAAAAACTAGGAATTTGTGTAAGTGCTTATGGGTGATTTTTTTAAACCAGTCTACCACATTTTGCGTACTTTGCCATTGATTCAAAAAAAGTTTATTTTTAAGTTCACAATTAATTTTTGTTAAAATTATTTTAGTAATTTGTCCTACCTCATTTTTTTGAAGGGTTCAAAAGGCGCACACATGGATTGTTAATAAAGTTTTTCTTGTGGTCTTTCAAAGTAAAAAAACTGTTAGAGGATCCGTTTATTTCAAATTTTTTCTTATACCTTGTGGTTGGTTAAAATTTGTTTTCCTTCTTTGTTTATATGGTCTTTTAATTTTGGATTTGTTTTTTTGTAGGTAGTGGTAACAGCATTTGTTAACAGACTATTGTAATCCTCCTTAGACAGTTTATACATATTTTATGTTTTGTCAGCTTGTGTTAAGGTTTTGTAAGATTACGTATAGCTTTAATATCTTTTTTCATACCATTTTAAAAAGTGTTGTGTATGTCTCAAAACTTTATTGATTTAATAAGATTAATTAAGTCTTTTTCGAAGAATGACATTACTTTTATTTGCGGTGGACATATAGGAGATCTAATTCTACAGTTTGTATAATTGATATTGTCTATAATTCTTGGATCGTTATTAATAAAAAAGAACGCTTTCCATCTCATTTTCTTTAAGAGTAATTCCGTTTTGTTTATTAATTTTAATTTAAAGTCTCTTTCTGAAGGTATTGAAATGTTTTTTATTGAATATTCAAAATTTATTTTATCAATCGCATCGATCTTCAAATCACCATTTAATCTCATTGGAAAAAACCTACTGAATAAAAAAAATAAAATCGTATTATAGTGCCGACATTCAAAAAACTTATTATTATCTTTATTTGACACAGGGGACTAGTAAACTATAACAGCTTTTTGTTTTTTGATTTGTTTTTTAGTAGATTTGTTTATAACGTCAGATGTCATTCTACAATGATTTTTATGTTTTTGTAACGGTTTGTTTATGTTTTTTGTTTGTATTAACGGCTGATGATTGCCTTTGGGCAGGAAACTCTAAGTCCTGCTAATTAGTTGTTTTTATTTATCTAAATAAAATATAATTATATATAGCTCTATTATTCAGTAATAGTGAGCACTGTAACATGTACAAGAGACTTCGTATTATTACATCAAAATACTTAACCTCGAATATATTATATATCTATATTGATATCTATGCATATGTATATATATATATATATATATATATATATATATATATATATATATATATATATATATATATATATATATATATATATATATATATATATATATATATTGCATATTAAATAACTCAATTGAAATTTTGCATATTAAATAACTCAATAATAAAGATACTAAAACATATTACTATTCATAAATATTATCTCAGAAAGTTAAATATAGATCCAAGTTTTGTCAAGTTTTGTCAGATTTTATTTTGATTTTATTTATTCGCAGCTCGAATATGGTCACTATATGTTGATACATATAAAAAATCCTAAAAATGTATAAAGATGTAAAATTCAACTTATTCTTATTGAATAAAAAAGAAAATAAAAATAAATATTTTTTTAACTTTTACTCTAAAACAGATTTATTTAAAAAAAAAATATATTTTGTTTTAAGTTATCACAAATTTTTTCAATTGAAGCCAAAAAAATCATAACCCAATAAAAGTTATCAGGAAAAAATCTGCAATTTTAAGAAAAAGATAAAATAAACATCAATTGGTAATCAAAGTAGTTAGTTAAATGTTAATGTATTTAGTAACAGTGTGTTTAAGAAAAGAATTATTTAAATGTAGAGAAAAAAAACGCTAAAAATTTATAAAAACTAAAAACTTAATAGAAAACCCATAGAATTTAATTTACAAATTCTTTTAAAATGAATGTTGTTTAGGATTGTTTAATTGTTTGCATAACTAATATCACAAATACTTTGTATACACAAGAAAACAAATGATTTTTTAATATTTCTGCATGACAAGATATATTTGGTATAAAACATGAAGTTGGAATAGATTGTTATAAAAAGAAATAAAGTACATTTTTTACTTACTTAAAGAACAATAATATCTATGAAGTGATTTCAAAAATAAAAACTTTTAACAAGGTGGACAGCCTCATCTAAGTTATTCAAAAAATAATGGAGATACTTAAAGTAATTTTATAAATCTCAAAAACTACTTGTTTATTAATTATTTTGTTGTTATTCAAATATCATATATATATTTATTATTGTTATACAATTATTACAGAACAATAATAAAAAATTATATTATATGTATTCAAACAATTTAAAATTGTATTAAATCATTTAAACAATAACTAATAAAAAGATTGAGAGGTTAAGGTTAAGAGCTTAAACAATTCTTTTTTTCCTTTTTTAGATATAAATCTTACTAAGATGGGTTATGCATACATGATCCATTTTTGTATCTTCTTTTTCATTAGTAAAAACTTGCTTCTGCTTGAATTACATCATAATATCATCATTTAATTTATGTAATCTTTAAAATAGATTAAAGTTTTTAGAACCAACTTGGTGGTTTAGATTTGAAAATAGATTAAAGTTTTTAGAACCAACCCGGTGGTTTAGATTTGAAATTTTTCCAAATTATTACTCAATACTTAGGTTTTCAACCATAATAAAATCCTCTAGCAAAAATAAAAAATCATACATTCACACGTTTCTTAAATAACTTATTTTTTTTTAATTTTGTTAAAAGTTCAAGTAAATAAATCTAAATATATTTAAGTATTTTTTATTTTAATCTTAATATACACAAAATACATATAATTAATACATATAATGAATATAATTAAATATAGTTTATATATTTTTTAAAAATTTTTCTTCTATTGTATCATAATTATTTAAAGTTCAATATTTTCAAAATTAACAAATATTATTGAAAATATTGGAGTATTTTTAAAACTATTGGAAAATTTTTATATTAAAAAAAAAATATTTTTGAAAGGGTTTGTATTGCACGTAATTTAATTTTTTTTTATCATTTTAGGTAAGTGTCCTATTAACTGTAATTAGAAACAATAAGTCTTAACAAATGGGACAAAAAACCTATTTTTGCAGTTATTTACAAACTTGATTATTTTATTTAACTATACCATAAATTATAAGTGTACTGTTATCAATGAAATTTTTTATTTCTAAACTTAGTAGATTAATCTACTAAAATACATTTAACCAAAAATTTTCCATTCATTAATATTTTTTCTCTAATTTGTTAAAAAAAAAAATAAAGTTTAAACATAAGTATGAAAATGGATAGTTACAGACTTAATTAATTTTGCAATGAGTTTAAAAAGCGTTACTGCAAAATTATCTCAAGATTATCTCTTTAATTTGCACTTAATTGGAATTGTTTATTTTTAAACATATTGTTTAAAAATAAACAATTCATTATATCTATTCATTATTCATCATAATTCACAACATCTGTTAATTAATTTGTATATATATATATATATATATATATATATATATATATATATATATATATATATATATATATATATATATATATATATATATATATATATATATATATATAATATATATATATATATATATATCTTATAAACTATTTAAATAATAAAAATAATATATCAATTATTTTTATTAAAAATAATGTAATATTATATTTATAAATATTTGAAAGCAGTTCTTTGTTTTTTCTATTAATGTCCTGTTATGTGTGAAGAGTTCATTTTATTCTTCTTTATAAACAGTTTTTTTTTTTTTAATATTGTAAAACCCATTATGTATTTTAGCTGCCCCATCAGGTAATCCAGAAATCTATTGGTCCAGTCATACTGAGGGTTCTCCTGTAGGTGGCCTGGAAATGGGTTTTCATGGCAAGAAATTTGCATCTGGTTTCAAAATAAGGTTTTTCTCAAAAGAGAGTAGCCATGGTAACTTTTTCAACTATTTTAACTTTTTGTGTACTTTTAGAGTTTTATGTTTTTTAGTTATAAATAAATGGAAATTAAAAACTAATTTTTAAATACTTAAATCTTTAAATTAAATCTGTTAAAAAAACCACAAAATATAAAAACATATAAAAAATAATCCATTTCAATTTTTTTATTTATTTAAAAATATATTTTATTTTAAACTTCAATCATGAAAGCCTTAATTGTAAATGTATTTTACACATTTTTTCAAAATTTTCATAATTTTTCAAAATGTTTATATTTTTTCAAAATTTTTATATTTTTTCAAAATTTTTATACTTTTTCAAAATTATTATATTTTTTCAAAGTTTTTATATTTTTCAAAATTTTTATATTTTTTCAAAAGTTTTATATTTTTTCAAAATGTTTATATTCTTTCAAAATTTTTTAAAAACACATTTTTTAAATGAAATTGAATGAATTAACTTGCTGCAGAAGTTAAATTTATTATATTTGTTATACATTATTTTTATGAATAATAAATGTTCTGTTCTTTTTTTTTTTTTTTTAGCTGCTCAAGCTTTTTATTAATATTAAATTTTTAACATTGCAACAAAATCAGTGCAACATTTATGCTATTTTTATTTAATTTTTAGATAAAGTTAAAAACTTTGATTTAGTTACTTTGATACTGTATATTTTTAATAACTAGATCCACCTTGGGAAACTTATGCAGTTGTTGATAGGAATAAATCTAACTTGGTATTTTTTTTATCTTTTTCTTTTTTTAAAAGCTTAAAAAAAATGATTTTTTTATTTTGATTTATCAACATTTATTTTTATTTTTAGCATGCTTGCGTTTTCAAAGTGCCTGCTTACTATAAAACTCATATTACTACTAATGTTTCAGTATTTATTGAGGTTCAAAGTGGGTCAGAGAAAGAACCTCGCACAAGTGAGCCAGTACTTTTTACATATCTTGCTGATTCCAAAGTAAATAGTTGTAAAATTTGTGTTCAACTTAAAGGCTTCATTCAAACAATCTATCAGTTATTGATTAGCAAACACAATTTTAAAGGTATTTTAAAGTTTCTTCAAAACATTATTAAAGAACATAACATTAACACCCAATTTCTAACAAATAATTCATTAGAAAACCATACAAGTGAAGTTTTTGTGAGTTGCCATAATAAATCTCCTTTAACAACTATAAAAACTAAAACAACTTTTAACCCTTGTACCAGTGGAAATAAAGTCAAAAAAATGCTTGATAATTCTGGCTTTTCATCAGAATTATCCATTAATTGTAGCAAAAAACTCAATACAAGTGCTGCTGATTTTAGTAGAGCGAGTCCAAGAGCTACATGTTTTGACACTTCACAAAGCAAACTATTTTACACAGATTTTAACAGAAATGAACAAACTTCAGTTACCTTAAATAATACTCCAACGCAATCGACATCATTTTCTCAAAGCTATAACCAGTCAAATAATACTTATTTTGCTGAAAATTACCAGAATGAAAAAAATCTTCTGAAAAGAGATCAGAAAGAAAATATACTAAGATCCCCTGATGTTTCCGATATAAGAAATATTATTAGTACCAAAGTATCAAACATCAGTTCAAAGCTATTTGAAACTTCTTGTGAAAAGAAAGAAATCATCGGCAAATCATTTTCAACAACTTCATCAAGTAATTCTAGTTGTGAAGAAAGTTTAATGACATTAGATGATTGCTTGCATAATGAAATAGAATTGGCTTCCTGTCCAACCCATTCTTCACAGCATAGTTTAACACCAGAATCTTTTTATCTTAAATCGTTTGATCATGATCATTTGTTTTGCAGTAGCTTACATTTGCCGTCATTGAAATGTTTAGAAAATAATCAAGATAATTATCTAGATTCTCAGTGTGACGAAAACTTACTAATAGACAAATATTATTTACAGGATGTTGTTAGTCAGAGTTTTGAATATAATTTTCAGCCGTTTTCAAAAAGTTATGAGAAAGTAAGAGATCAAATAGTTCAGCCAAGGTCATATGTTCTATGCCATGAACCTACTCAAAATAGTTTAAACCAACATGCAAAGTTCAATGCTATACTTATGCAAAATAACTTTCCAGTATCCTCAAATCGGCTCAAGAGAAAAGTTGATAATTTTGCTGCTGAATACAACTTTTATAACAGCCTTCCTTCTGATCAGAGTTTATCATTTGAAGCAGGTAATTCTTTTTTTAAAGTTTTAGATGGTAAAGAATCCGCAGAAATTTCGTCAACATCCAGACCAACATTTTGTTCAGGCAATTTAAGTTATTTGGATTTATTAGGCGAAAATATTAAGTCGACTCCGCTGTCAAAGTTAGAACAGGCAAATTATTCACAGTGTTTTCTTCATACAAGTTTATTACCCAATTCATCACCTATTAGTTGGTAGCAGTGAAGTTTTAAAAGATTTAATGCAAAATTGTAAGATCATTTTTTTGTTCTACTATTTATTACATGTAGTAAACAACCTGGGTTGAAATTTGACCAGGGCTGGAGGACAGGGTTTGATAAAAAACAGCCAGGGTCGGGTTTATGACTGGGGCTGTTTAAACATTGGTACATCCTAACTATTTTTTTTTTATTCAAGTTTCATGTTATGTTTTATATATATTCATGTATATTTAAATATAAACATCATTATGATCAACATAACCATCATAATCATCATCATTATTGTTATCATCATCAAGTTTTAGCCTTTTCTTTTTATGCTGTTTCTCTAATATATACACATTTCTAGCATCTTATTTCCTTAACAAAAGCTAGTTCATGCAATACCTCTACTATTTTTACTTGAAGCTGTTACCTTTCTCTACATACTAATACCCAATCACTTTATTCTTCTCTGAAAAGCATTGTTTGATACAATGTTTTTTCTAATCACTGTCTAAGATTATGGCTTCTTTTTGTATCTTGTTAGAGTCATACCACATCCATTTGATCATCATCTACTCTTTGGCAAATACTATACCATATAAATACAAAAGTTTATATAAATATGTTAAGATATTGTATACCAGCATCTAAATAAATAGCAAACATATGTTTATATCCATATATATTCGTATTATGTATGCATAAAATAGTTTATAAATAGTTAATGAATCCTGGATCCATGCAGGTATTAAAGCTCTTATTTCTTCGTGTCAGTTTTAAGTCATGCTTTTAACTCCATGATTTTTACCTTTTAGTGCAGTTTTGCTATATTAAGCCATAATAATTTTTTTCATCTTTTTTACAAGAACATCTTAAGAACAAATATCTTTTTATTTTAGGAGTCAATTTAAAAAGAACCTTTCTGATAATAAGCTACAATATTCTCAGTTTACTAAATCTTATATCTTATTTCAGATGTTAGGTTCTGAAACTCAGAAAATCATTAGCAGTGTCATTAACTAAACAAAGTCTTACACTCTATCTCTAATTTGTGCGAGCTTATTACTTCTCTCCCAAATAAATCAGAGTTGCAAAGAACATTTTCTCTAATTTGACAATTAAACCTAAAGGCCATATTCTTCCTGTCATTCCAATTAAACAGATTAACCAATTGTTAGACATCCAAGTTACATTGGCTTCCAATGCTTAAGTCAATTCTCAGTTAAGTACTTCTATGGCTTGTGACTCACACAACGTTTCCAGCACAAAAGTGTTCTCTAGAACAATCTTTAATTCTCGCTAAACTGTTAATAAGTGCTAAATAAGTGGTTCTAATGTTTGAAAACTCTAGAAAGCACACTGACCTACAACTATCCTTCCAATAGTCATCTCTCAGTTATTAGTTTTTATATATAAAGGTTTTGAGATTATTAAATCATTTCTTATTAGCCACAGTATTTAAGTCATTCTTATAAACCTAAACTCATCTTCATTTCCAGTAACTTTGAGGGTTACTGGAAATGAAGAAGAGTAACTGGAAATGATAATGATTGCAACTGTGATGATAACTGGAAATGATAATGGTTGCAACTGCAATGTTTTATATATGCTCCTGTATTGTTTCTTATTTACAATAATAATCTTCCTGACAATCTTACGTTTATAGTAGCTCTATTTGCTGAGAACTCAACTTTATACATTTGTCTTGACAAATGTATAAATTCTTCACTTTTTGATTGCTTAGAACAAGCAAACAAATTGAACAAACAAGTAAACAATCTTTACTCTGATCACTTTTCTGCAGCTTGGAATTTGCAGTACAGCTCGGAACTTGCTGTAGCTTGTGGTTTTAACGCCACAGTATTGTTGACATTCCTATATTGATGAATAACAACTCTTTCATTCTTAGGCAAGGTCTGGAAACACATTGTAAATGTAGGCGGACCTGCTCTATCTGCCAAACTTGAGCCATACTACCAACGTCATAAGGTTGCATCTTTTTCTTTTTATATTTTTATATTAACTGTTGTAGTTGCTGCTCAAACAAGCTATCATCCAAAGTTTAATAAACTAAAACTCATTGTTGCTTGGTTTGTCATTCAGCAAAGTTGTATCCTTTTACTGTACTGTTCCTTTCATGATATAAAAATTTATTTATCTAGTTTTTTTTTTTCACACATCAACATAACCTTGAAACCAATCTTCATATTTTCCTTACTCGTACAACCCAACTTTTCAAGTCTTTAGTTAATCATTTCCATGTTTTTAACCCTATCCTTTGTTTTTGATTAACTCATAACTTAATAATGGTTATATATATATATATATATATATATATATATATATATATATATATATATATATATATATATATATATATATATATATATATATGCATATAAATGTGTATATATATATGCAATTATTTAACTAATACTTTTTTTTTAACTTCAATTCACCTTCCCAAGACCATTAAAAGTCACTACAGTCGAGGAGGCTAGTTTATTTGTGGTTACACCCTCTCTTAGTTCTATAACTTTGAAACACAAAAATTTTAAGAAATCAGTACTTTTTAAGGATTCACCCCCCCCCCCCCTCATTTTATTTATAGAATCGCCTCTGGATCAAACTCAGAACATCTCGCTTATGAGGCAAGCACTACTAACACTACACCACTTTCTTATTTTATTAAGTTAAATAATTGGCGATTATAAATAAATTTAAAATAGTTATTTAGTGATGGAATCATTAACATGTAACAAACTTGAAAAATACATAAGTAAAATAAATATAAAAAGTGATACATATAGCAAAGTTTTCATTTGAAAAACAGTCACTTTGTAATGTTTTGCTGCTGCTAAATGCATACTTTTATTCACTTTTCTAATTGGTAGAAACCACTGCACAATCCTTTTTGGTTGTTTGATGACCTGCTTTGTTATGACTTTTGGGTACATACAATTGGTTGGAATCTTTAAGTTTTGGTAGAAATGATGATATTGTTTGGAATATATCGTTTGTTCCATAGGAAAAGAAAATCTATAAATTTCAGCGCACTAATACCTCTTGGAGCAAGGTATTTCTGCTTTTGTAACTGTATATCTGCTGCTGGTTTTGTGTAACCAATCATTTTTGATCAAAGAATACAACTTTTATATTAAAGTAAAGAATGTCAGTAATTTTTTTTAAACCTTTTAGATGTAAATACTGACACAAATAAATTTCTTGGTTTAGCCTTCTTTGCACTTTTTTCTTTTGTTGAATTTAATATCTTAAAGCATTTGTTGCTAATGCTACAGAGTATGCTTTTTCATTTTTAAAATTGGTTATATCATCGTGATTTAACACAGTAAATACACAGGTGTTTTTTTTTAAAAAGCTTGTTCTATTATTGTTTCCATTGCATAGGTGTGTAGATTGTTCAATTTCAATATTATTTTCTAGTTATTGAGTGGGTTGCATCATTTTCACTCTGACTATGTGCTGTTACAAAGAATGTAAGCTTAATTATATCTAATTTGAATAGACTCAATGCATCAGATTATGTTCATCATTCCATTTTAATTTTTGGTCCCCACATTTATCACAGAAAAGAAAATACTTTATTGCTTTTTTGTTGCTTTCAGATTCAATAAATTCAAATACTCTTGTACTCACTTCACAGCTAGCTTTTTCTCCATTCTCACTCCACAAGTATATTAGGGCGGGTCGAAACCATACTTTTTTTTAAATTTTGACAAGCAGCACTATGTTGAGTTTTTGAGTTGGTATAATAACCTTTGTAGACTAAGTTCTTTTTTTTACACACACCCCTAGGGGTTGCACCACACGCTCTAATTTTACCACAAAGAAAAAATTGTATAATTTTTTTTTTTTGGGGTATATATTCTTTTTGCTTCATGCCTCAAATAAAGTTTTAAAATATAATATCATGTCAGCATAATAACTTTTGCTATGCTACTAAGTAATTTTTTAGTTTATTCTATTAGTTGCATTTTAGTCTCTATACATAGTATATTTAGTGTTTGTGTATATATTTGTCTTCTTTTTATTTGTTAGTAATTAAAAATAAAATATAACTAATAATAAGCAACACATTGTATCATGGCAACATTTCATACTCACAGTAAAACTGACAACTTAACATTTTGACAAGGTTCTAAATTTCTAACTGCAATGGTTCCTACAAAAAGAGATGTTGCGAAATATTGCTACTATGTTCGTAGAAATGAAGATGCTAAATCCAAAGGATCAAGTTCTGCTCATAAATGTTACAGATTAGTTACCACTGAAATTGAAAATATTTGGTGTAAATTCAGTTTTCTAACAATCAAAACAGAGGGAGTATTCTTAAAACTATGTAGATTAATGAAAAAAGCATTCAATTGAAATAAAACTTCAAGACTTAGAAGAAATGCTAATTTTTATGACAAATTGAAAGCTTTTGACAACATGTTTGATATATGTTCATGCAATTGTTATGATTTAGGAGTAGAAAAAGAGAAATGTAGATGTACTTCTAAAGTGCCAATAAAAGTGTGGGATGCGTTTGTTGGGCAAAAGAAACGCACAAATCAACTTGGACTACTTGATCGTACCTACACATCTACTTTAAAGAAAACTGAAATTAGAAAAAAAAAAATTGTAACAAGGCAAAAACAATTAAATACAC